GGTATATACCGATATTTTGTCGAACAGCTAGTTAAATGGATTTAAAATACCACACACACGCACAGACAGAGAGAAAGAGATACAGTTGTACTCTAGTAGATATACGTAGAGTAAAAAGACTTCCAATGCGTACCATTTATCCAGTATGGATAAAGAGTTCCACAAGCCGTGAGTACAGGTGGTGATGTTGGCATACGATAAGAAGGGGCTCTGTACCATCCTTTTCTGAGATAGTAGTCAGACAAGGGCGTGGAATCCATAGCGAAATTAGGACTTCTCTTTACAAGATCACTTAGCACATGATGATTTGTGGTTAGGCATGGATCACCAGCAACTGATACACATACAATAAAAGATTGATTAATTGATTGATTGATTGATTGTATGTTGTTTTACATCCCATTCGAGAATTTTTCACTCATATAAAGACGTCACCACATACCGGCGAAGGGCTTCAAATTTTGACCTTTACTCGGCACTCAGGGCCATTGAGCAGTCAGGGATCTTTATCGTGCCAACGCCTGCCGTGACACGGGGCCTCGGTTTTTAAGGCCTCATTCGAAGGACCTGCAACGTTTACTTCAAAGTGCCGAGTGCATGGCGAAGGAACATTTGCTACCCATTCTTTATTGACTTTGGTCAGTGTCGGCCGAGATTCGAACTCATTTGTAATTTATGTGTAATTTATGCAAAGCTGACAAAGGACATTTCATAGAAAAATATACTTTGAAAATGACCAAGAGTTTAATAATTAGAATAATTGTCATGATGAAAAATTGCCTTGTTTTATAACAGTTAAATAAAATGGATATTTAAATGTTTAAAGAAATAAATCTAGAAATGCATTTTTACGATTACAATAATCTAAAGTATCTTTATTTTTTCAATACATTAACTATATTTGCAATATGGAATGTTTGAGATTTTATCAATTTTTTCATCTATAATAATCCTCTTTCTTGTTTAAATATAATATAACTTTTAAAAGTTGCAAAATTCATTTTTCTCTGCAAAATTTTTTTTTATGATTTCATTCTATATTAAATAAATTATTCTTACCAAGGAATGTGAATCCAAACGTTAATGCCAACCAACACACACTGACTTTAGTAGAAGCCATGAAAGAAGTCCTACTCTTCACGAATAACGATGTGTTTTATCTGCAAAAGGTTAATGTCAATAACAATAACCAGTTTTTTATTCAATTAATATGCCTTATATTTTATTTTTTATCGATCCTTAAATCTTCTTCACACAGTGAAGATAAACAACATATCGCAGGATAATTTAGCAAAATCGATTAAAACACCTTTTAAACTCTTTCCCTCTCTTTAAACGAAAACAAGCTTAAAGAGTATTAATGATCAATGACGTAGAAAACTCAAAATATTAGCCTTTTTTTTATCGGAATATATATTATGTGTTTCTTTTTTAAACCTTTGTTAAACATACCTACGACAGTTAAGAGAAAAAGAATTATACTAAGTTTCTTTTCCGAATGTCCCGAGGTACAAATACATTTTTTGTTGATCTGCATACAGCAAGTAAATCAAAGGAATAGTTTTATTTCTATTTTTTTTTATTTTTACATGTAATGAAACAATCAAAAGGCAATTTTCATTAAGACGTCCCCCTTTTTAACCAAAAGATTTTAGGAATGTTGCTCATTATTTCCTTCTTAAACATTCCTGTTTTGGTCCGAGGAACTTTTGCATGAACAAAGGACTTGTAAAACCAACATTTTGAATTTGTTACATACGCAAAACTTGTCCATATCGGCAAGTGTAATCTTGCTCCTCTTAAAAAAAAATAAAGGGTCATAATTCCGTCAAAAATTATTGAAGCTGGTCAACATGCTAACTTAATCTATAACTCATCAGTAAAGAGTAGCATACCAAAATTTAGCTCAAGTTTATCTGTAATTTATCAAGGTTACAATTACATACTGAAAATCAGCGCGATATCTGCAAGCGTTTATTAAAACAAAAAGGCGGGAAATAGAGTGGTCCCCCTTTATTTAAAAAAAAAAAATGTAATTCCGTCAAAAATCATTGAAGCGGAATAAAACGGTTTCTTACTCATCAGAACACACTCACATACCTAAATTCTGCTCAATATCTGCAAGCCTTTAGATGGAAAAGTACGGAAAAACAGCTTAGATGTACTGACAGAAGGACAGTCCTGGAGAAAACACAAGATTTCACGGGAAGGAAAGTAATAAGAAATTGCTTAACATTTACAAAATGATATCACATATACGATAAATGATGACTTTTTGGATTTAAAAAGATGTTTTCAAAAGACTGACTAAACTGAAATCCACTTACGTGTTCAATTTTTGAAAGGGTAATTCCAGAGGAATTGCCACATATTCACAGATATTTATTTTTTACTCTTTCTGAATTGCATTAGATGAAAATAAATAATGAGTAAGAATCATGCTTTCGTGATCATACTCTAAAGTTATGAATCAATGCTATAATTAATAAATAATTACAAAATTATATTTATTCTGCATTATATTTATACATTTCAGATCTTTGTAATCTGTGTGTTTTTCCTTCAAAAAGGTCTTTTGTTGTCGAATTACGAATTCGGAAGTTAGTTTTAAATTTTAAAAACCTTTTATTTCAATAGGAAAAGACGCACTTAAAATTATAACTGGCTATTTGCAAACCCTTACACAAAATGAATATCGCAGAGCTTAGTAATATGACCTACAAACTGGAATTTCTGTTCTTGTTGGAATAAAGTTTTCTTCATGAATAATACCTCAAAATAAGCAAACACCTACAGCTTGGTTTGGAAATAAAATTCACATGTTTAACTCATAAACTGCCAGCAAACAATCATTTCTTTAAATAAAAAAAGAACCAACTCCTCTTTTAATACGATATACTTGTTAAAATGTACTATAAAGGCAATGGTTATAAGCGACTTAAAAACATAGAGTTGTTTTTATTTTAGTATCAGGACTTATCGCATATTTTTGATGCTTTATTAGTCAATGAAATGTACGCTAGTCTATTTTAGTACATGTTGTCAAGGACACTCGTCGAACTTGTTTAATTAGTTTCGGCTGATATTTGTCAGAATAGGTCTGCAGGCATGCTTATTGAACTTGGGTAGTGTTATGTTACCTGTCCCCAGTTAGGTTTGGTGTATCATGGTTCCCCCTACTAAATAATCCTGGGATTCAGATACGCGAGTAGTTTCTTGGCGGCGTTGAGTGCAAGATATAGTGGACGACTGTTTGCATAAAAATGGCTACAAAATTAATTTATTTAAATATATGGAATCATGATACTGAAAAAAATTCAAATTTTATCTTAAATTATTTTAAAATAGTTCCACAAGAAAGAGTATGAAGTAAAACACCCCCGCCCTCCAAAAAGAAAAATCCCAGCCAACTCAAAGGTCCTAGGGTACGTGAAATATATTAAGAAAAGAAAACAAAACAAAAAAAAAAAAAAAAGAAAAAAAAGAGAAGAAAGAAAAGAAAAGGTTTAAAGATTCCATTAAAAAAATCAATAATAATCGCTCTTCCCATTTTGAATACAAATAGGGACAGAGTTATTCCGATTAACGCTTTACAGTAAGATGGAATAAAGCCAACTCTCCTATGGTGAATCAGTATCCAAATCTTTTAGGTTGTGAATCAATAAAATGTTTTATATTAATTTCGTTTGATAGCACATAATTTTTATATATTTTGATATACAATTTGTATTCTACAGTTCCACTTTTTTAATTCTTAAAAATAATATCACCATTAATCACCTTGTTAACTTGCCATGTTTCCAACTATCAAATATAAAATTTAACACTTATTATCTCTAAAGTTTTAAGAAAAACTCCGATATTGGAAAGAGTTATATATTATAATTTTTTTTATAGGAACAGTAAAGAAGGCTCGACTGTCTGGGGGTAGCTAGGGAACAAAGCACACAGGATAAATGAACCTGCCTATTGGACAAAAGATCTTAAGTGAGGGGAATCCTCTTCCATAATGGCTTGGATTTCCAATCTTTTGAATATTAATTTTGGAATGATGTTTTATGAAAGGCTGAATGCTGTGGAGTGTAAGAGTGCATGATGAATTAACATACCATTTTTCGTTGAGATAAAGTACCATTTTATTTAAAACACATTTTTTTTCCCAAAATATATTAGCCATGTTTAAAAAAAAAGAACTAATAGACTATTAAGAATGAGAAAAATGAAGATAACAAACAGTAAACTATCTAAAAAAAAAAAAAAAAAATCTGCAAAAATACATGTTTGAGGCTCATCCATCTATTGACCGTTACCTGATCAAGAAAGTTACGTGCTGCATACATTTTGATATATTTACCTTTTAGGTGCGATATTTTTACGTTTTAGTTTAAGTGACCTTAACATGGCTGTGTATTCCTTACTTCGTGTTGATGATTATGGTATATTAGGAGTATCAACTTTTTATCGATGAGCATGTCCTTGCTGAAATTCCCATTATTGCTTAGTGTTAGGACTGTTATATGTTCTGCCAATGTTACAAAAATACACACACTAAGTGTTATGTATTTGATTTACACATGGCACTCCACAGTTTATCTGTTTTAAAAAAAAAATCATATCTACTGCAGAAGAAGCAACATATTTTAAAAGTTAATCTGGGGAGTGCTTTATTTTTGTTTTTCGGGGCATTGTGGAATTGCCGGAATGCAAAATAATAAAGTTACTATAGTGATTTATTTCCAATAGACATGTTTCAACGCATTTAAAATACGCATGCACAATCAATATCATCATTTGTTTCAAATTGCTGAGCAGTTTTAAATTCAAGTAGTTTTACATGTGCCGCAAAAATAATGTTGGCTAGTATTTATGTACAGTGTATTAGCCTTATATTTCCAGACCTCATCTTTTCCTTTAAACAATCGACCGATTATGAGCATGTTTATAACAATGACAATCAGCTGACAACTACAAATATTCTTTCGGAAATAACAGACATTCCAAGTTTGTCGAGTTGTAGTGCTATGTGCAGAAAGCGTGCCGATTCTTTCTCGTTTTTCTACAATTCTGCTATGAAGAAATGTGTGTGTACAGGACAGGTACAACAGAGTGATCTTCAACCCTTTGTTGGATACGTGCATTTTTCTACATCAGGTAGGTTTTTAACTGTTTTTCTTTTCGCACATTAAAATATTCCGTTACTTAGATACATTATTTCGGTTGGTAATACATTTCCAGTGTTTTAACAATCAGTACTTGTGAAAAGTACAAGGAAGGCGTTCAAAAAATGCCTTTATACGTTATTTTGTACGTGAAATTCATAATATCATTTCTTAACATGTAGCTTGACATCATGAAACAATCTGCAACTGATTCAAAGATATAAAAATAGTGTCATATGTACATTTTGTAAATCTGGATACGCTGCAAAATGGATGCCAAAAACGAAAATAGATATTTTGTTTTTAATTAATTCATGTGTTCCTCCTATCATAGGCCAGTGACATTGCTTCATGAGATGTAAAATGGAAATAAATCATTATTCATCAGGAGAGCAACTACATGATCTTGATTGTGTGATTCATTCTTTGGAATAGAGTAGCCAGTTTCAGAATATTTTTTCTGTGCGATAAAGGCAGAGGGCGATTATTAGTCACAATAAAAATCAAACAGTTCTATCTTGAACTGAAAAAAGGTGAAGATAACGAACGGTGATCGATTAAAAAAATGAAATAAATACAAACCTGTAAACATGGTAAAAAAAACACAGACCCCCGGAAATTACACAATTGGAGTCAAGTGCCTAGTAGAAGCAAGCATCCCCTATCGATCGGTCACACCCACCGTGAACCCTATGTACTGATAACGCAGACGGAATATTTTGTAATCAAATTTAACAAAATATAAAGGCTTAATAATTTGTATGAAATATGTCAGTCAAAATACGACCCAAAGATAGGATATATTAGCTAACAAGGTCACTATACACGAATAACGACTTTAGAGCTATCTTTAAACGATGTGGTTGAAGTCCATAAAGACAGATAAATCATTTAAATGAAAAGATGCCAACCAGACGTAATATATTACTCTACATCAATTGTTTCAAACGGATTTGGGGTTTATATTATCATCCTTACGTTGCTTGAAATAGCTTTGGCCAAAACAAACAAAGGAACGAGAAAGCAATATTTAAAAAAGCGTTTTATGTGTACAGAAATAAAACAAAATCAAACACATGGGAATGCATTAGGTGCCATTGTTTTTGCTACATTTATAAAAGAATATGTCAATAAACTTTGTCTTAATCTAATACTTCGACCACAAAATATATGTACATGTTCGATGATTTCATGGCATGTAAAGTTAAAACTAAATATTTGACCTGTATTGACCCGGCAGTTATAACGGACTTGTTTCTATTGACTTGTCTTTATCTGTAAGAGAAGAGAAAATTCCTTGATCATTGAACTTTATTTTTGCTTTATTTTACATGCAACACTATTGTAATTAACGAATCATTTCATCCCTCTGCATCAACCCACAAGTGAAAGTTAAATTATTGCTTTATTTGAGTTAAGGCATGCTTTGTGCTTTTTAGAAAAAAGAACTACTTTTTTAAACTGAAGACATTTACGGATTTCTTTTCCCTCTTCATAAAATATAACCCTGATATTGTTTTTGTCTTTATTTTGTTAATTCGTATTGTGTGCCTTTCCTATACCGGGAGGGAATAGGTCAAGAAAAAATTCTAATATAATTAATCAATCTTTACCAAATACAGGGAATTCTTATTATGAAATGTACATTCGAATTTAAAGCTTATAATAGATATGGATATATTTTTAAATACACCTTCAAAACTTTGAAAAAAAAACTTTATTTTTTTTTTCAATACAGATTTAAAAAAAACATATTTATATCTAAGACATACACTGTTACATTCTGATAATTATATGGATTTTACAATAAATAGTGAAATATGAAGATTACTCTTAACACTGTAAACTACAATTGAATTCTAACAGTAATTTTGAGCAATCTATATTGCGTAAAAGTAAAAAAGATTACGTCTGAAATTCATGTTTTTGATAAAAACCTTTGATATCTTAAAGAAATCAAAATGATCCTTGTATATAGAGAACATTTTACCTGTATCTTAAGCAAATTAAAAAAAAAAAAAAAAAAAACATTTAAAAAAGAAAATACATTTATTCACCATTTAGATGTTACTAATTATCACTGTCTGGCTAGATTTATTGTCGTGATCTGGTTTTAAAGAAAATTGTGAACAATTAAGGAAATATCGTTTAACCCCCCCCCCCCCCTTTCCAAAAATATGAAATTATGCAGGGACAATTCTGACACAGGCCTTGAGATAATTTGATCTTCAGTTTAAGATTTTCACTGATTCAGTCGCAAAAGCCTACAGGCCAGCACTAATGCCCTGTGCTATAATACCAAATGCAGACAGACGTCTGTGCATTACACTAATCAGTAAGACATAGTTAGTCCATTCACCTTCATATCAATCAGTTTTTTCTTCAATGAACACTCACTTTTGTTCTCACGACTTCACGAGATTGTTATTTTTGATATTTTATTTTTTTTATTCCATATCCTTTGAGCTTTGAGTGGCATAGGTTGCACAAACCTGCCATTCAAAACACTTGTAAAAGAGCACCAGTACTATTCAAAAGCACAGACTAATAGATAAATGTACTTGGGTATCTGAAATATGTAGAAAAAGAGAAAATAATTGTTTCATTTTTTTTCAAATACTTGTCTGGTACTTTTTTGACTCTATCCCGTGCTCTCATATATACAATTGCAAAACATTAAGACTGTTCTGAGAAACATCAACCTTTGTTACAGGGCTCTCTCCCTGGAAAGTGTTTGGAAAGTCCCAGTATCAACATATCAAAAAACGAATTAATTGGCTAGACGCTCAGGTAACAATCATCATACTGTCTTGTATTTTATGTCTTTATTAGCTCACCTGAGCCGAAGGTGTGATCAAGTGAGCTTTTTTGTTCGAAAAGTGTTCGGCGGACGTCTGTCGTTTGTCCTCTGTCGTCTGTGAACGTTTCACATTCTTTACCTTTTCTCAAGAACTACTTTGTCAATTTCTAACAAACTTTCCAGAAAGTATCCTTGGGTAAAGTGGAATAAGTTTGATCTCGTGAAGGGACAGAGTAATTTTAATTTCATCTTTTTAAAAACTTCTTCTCAAGAACCACTCTACCAGAAAAGTTGAAACTTTTGTGAAAGCTACCTAATAAAGTAAAAATTCAAGTTTGTTCAAATCATGACCCCCGGAGTAGGATTGGCCACAACAGGGGATCAAAATTTTACATATAGAAAATATCTTTAAAAATCCAAGAACAGCAAAGCTTTGATTAGTCAAGCCATGATTAGTCATATTAATACAGAGGCATTCTTAGGTAGTGAAGATTCACGTTTGTTCAAATCATGATCAGTGCCCCTGGCTTTGAGGTGGGACCACAACAGGGGATCAAAGCTTAACGTATGAATTAATAGGAGTGTTTTTTAAAAGACCTTACTCGTAAGAACAGCAAAGCGAAGAGCAAGTTAAATCAATGGAGAAACATCCCCAGATAATGTAGATTTAAGTTTGTTCAGATCACAACCCCCTGGGGTGGGTGGGTCTCAATAGAAGATCGAACTTTTACAAGGAAAAAAATCATAAAAAAGTCTTCTCAAGAACAGCAAAGCATTGATTAGTCATATTAATATAGAGTCATCCCGGCATAGTGTAGATCCAGCTTGTTCCAATAATCATACCCAGGGGGTAAGGTGGGATCAGTTATATCTTTAAACTTTTCAATACTGAACTGATTTCTTTCTTTCTCTAACAGTAGCCAAAATGCTCAAGTGAGCGATGTAGCCCATGGACCTATTGCGTTCTAGTTTGCTTATCAGGAAAATAAGTGAAAAAAATGAAAACTAGTTTGTATCTACAAACCATGAAACAACCAATACATTCTTCTTTCATGAGTAAACATAAAAAAGGGATTATCCAAGCGTCAAGTAAATACCTCGTCTATATTGTACTTTTAACTCTGTTTAAATCCTTTCAGATTGCAATTATATGATATGCTACACGTAGCATAACATATAGCAAGTTAGCAAAAATTGCGAGCTTTGGTTCTATCAGTCAGGTTCGTTCTTTAACACTAATAATGACATTATAACAGAGTGCAATAGAACATAAAATATCAACTCAATGCGAATTGAATGTCTCTTTTAAATCACATTTTTTAAAATACCTTCCGTAGCCCTAGCATTTCGGATTGATGAAACCAAATTTGATAATGGTATTGAAGCTAACATTCGGTATCGATTGTTACATATATTTCAGGATATATAAGGGAAATAATCAAAAACATTGAAACAAGAGAAAAAAGGACTTGTCAATCTTTCGAGAACAGATACACAAAGCATAATATTTATTTCTTTATGGTGTAATATCATGGGATAAAGTAACAAACTGCAGGTGTCCCTATAGTAAACTGCTGCAGACCAAACAGAAACCGCAAGTAGCTCTATGCATTGGTGTATTTTCCTTAAAACACTTGGTCAGCGTTACTAAACACCGTGTGAATAGGATGGTTATTAGTAACTCAAAGTCTACATTATTTTGAATGCATTATTATACTAAGTATATAAGAATATCTATTTATTACTGAGAGCTATTTAAATTCTACACAAATCAACAATCTGCATGCAGAAACAAAGATTTCTAGGAAATAATAGTTTCTTTCATTTTTTTTAGATTGAGTGTCAAGAACTTGGGGCAAAATTAGCAGAAATAGAGACATTGGAAGAAAACGATTTTCTGAAGAATTACACGAGGGAGAATAATTATGGTATTCTGTTTAGAAAAGTTATTTGCACGGGGAAATTGAAAAGTTTAATGATACATAATTAGAAATTACTTAAATTTTTGGTCATTGGTTTTCTTACGAATCGCTAAAATATCTTATCCTCAATATTTATTTAGATTTTGGTCAAAGTTTTCAATGTATTGATAAAATGTCTTACTCTTCATAGTATAAATTAAGCATAAATTGTCATTCTTTATTCACTGAAAAAGAAAAGGTCTTCTCATTAAAAAAATACATACATGTACTTTTTTAAGGTAACACATTTATTGGAGGAACAGATGCCTTCTCACAGAACAGATGGAGATGGTCAACAACATTTAAACCAATAACATTCAGTGACTGGGCGCCTAGCAAACCTGATACATCTGGGGGTGATGAATGTCTTGGCTTGTCTGGTAACTTTGATATGTCCTGGGATGACATGAACTGCGATGCAAATCAAGCCTCTTTTATGTGTGAGCGGATGATACTATAGATAATACACCTATATCCTAGATTTTTAGCCTGTGAGCTTTTCACATTTTCTTTTCAAGAACTGCTGGACCAATTTTAACCATGTCTGTTCAAATGAAGTGTCACGGTCTCTTTAAAGGGGATGTAATCAAGAATTAATTAAAATCTAATGACATCTTTCAAAAATCTTCTTCTCAAGAACAACTGTGCCAACAAGGATGAAACTTACATGAAAGTTTCTTTACAAATTGTAGCTTCAAATATGCATCTGAGATAAAGGCGGGGCCACAGTTGATTATCAAAGTTTCACAGAGAAATATACCGGAAGAAATATCTAAAAATAGTCTTTTCAAGAACGGAAAAGCCATGATTAGTCATATCTATAAAGAAGCATCCCCAAATAATGTAGATCCAATTTTTTTTTTCCTTTTCAAATCATTACGCCCGAGGGTAGGGTCTGGTGACAAAGAGTGATCAAACGAAGCACTGTTAAGGCATAATATGAAGAAATCAGTGGAATACAGACGTGCACAAATATATACCTTTTTAAAGTGAATTTGTTTTTATAAAGCTTAAAACTTATCACATAAATTTAATATAAATTGAAATAACGTGGTAAAATCCCACTCTGTCGTGATTTTAGTTTGGTCCTCTGATTTGATAGTCACGTGATCAATGCATATAACTTGCACTACATAGAGGTCATAAACAATTTTCAATATCGCAAGGGCATACCCTCATTCAAAGAAAAATTTTAATTCATATTTTTTTTTCTATACATCTTGTACTTTCTGAAAAGTGCTACTGCTTTAACAAGAATCCGCAATTTATTAGTTTAAATTTCAAGTAACGGACTTCACCTGAAAAATGCGTGACCTTTACAAGGTATTTATGTGTTTAGTAAGTAACATTCTTGATTTCAGGAATGTAAAAGCACTTTCCAAGTTAAGGAACACATTTTCTATCTATATTTTGAAAATAGTGAACATCTACAAAGTGTATGCTCTTGCGCTAAAGTGATTTATTGAGGCACGCAATGTTAATTGGGTCATTCCTTTATACAAAACACGGGAAAATGAATCCAGTACACTTTCTCCATAAAAAAAATAACAATGGCATTTAATTAATGTTATATTACACAAAAGAACTACTGGTCTGATAAATTTCTGTAAATTATATTCTATTCAATAATAAAATGCATTTTTTTTATTGTGAAAAAATAATGTCGTTTAATCCGCCACTCACTGCAAGTAAAATGCGTAAAATATTACCATGGTGACGTCACGTCGAGAAGTGCATTGCGATCAGTGACTTGTTTATATCTTGCTGTGTGGGACTTATAATAAACTAGCGACAAAAATAAATGCAGTTGTAACTTTTGATGTAGTTTTATACTATTATAAAGTTTAAACTTGCATTATTTCATTTTATGATATATGCAGAATTGATATTTTTGCGTGATGTTACATCAAGCATAACCAGTATTAATTAGGTCACACCTGCTTTATGTATCTTTAACAGGACTGCGTTTTACATACTAGGAATTTAGAGGGCAAAATCTTCAAAACTCTTTTTCTCAAGAACGACATAGGCATGATTAGACATATTGATATGGAAGCATCCTCAGGTAGTGTAGATTCAATTTGTTCAAATTGTGACTCCAAGGGGAAGGGTGGGACCATAAAAACGATCAAAGTTAAACGTAAGAAATATATGGGAAATCTTTTGAAGAACGACAGACCCATAGAGAATCGGGTGAGCGTTGTGACACATGGGCCTCATGTTTATGAATATTTATTACAGCATTTAATGAAAGAACAAGATGTAAAGTCTCACCCGACGCTAATAGGTTCATTAAATATTAAAATTACATTTATTTCAGTTAAGTAAAGAAAAAAAAATCAATAAAATAAATCGATTCAGAGTTTGTAAAGAAAAAATTATCCTTTATTGCAATGAACTGGTTATAAAAATATTTTTTTTTTGCATTAGTGATTTTTCTCATTCTACATTTTACACATTTGTGATTTAATTTTCTTTTTCTATTGTAATTAATCATGCATATATATGTAATGTATTAAATGCGAAATGATACTTTTCAGATGTTTATAACTTCAGATTTTTTCCTTTATACATGTACTCTGAAGTTGACACTAAAAAGATTTTGACTGATAATATCTAAGTAGTTTTTGGAGACCAGGACTTCAAACAATTTGTTGGAATTCCCATGGGTTTTAATTGTACCCCGTTATTAGCAGACCTGTTTTTTTTTGTTTTTTTTTTTGTTTTTTTTTTTTTTTTTTTTTTGTTTTGTTTTGTTTTGTTTTGTTTTTGTTTTTTTTTTTTTTTTTTTTGTATTCGTATGAAGCAGAATTAATTTATTCAAAATCTTATTCATGAGAAGAAGAAAACACTTGCTGTGGCCTTCAACTCGTCATTTAGATATATCAACGACGTACTATCAATTAGCAAAGTTTCTTCCATTCATATGTCGACTCTGTATATTCCAGTGAGCTTGAAATAAAAGATACCATACACATTGAATGTCATTTGTTAAGATTTCATGGTCATTGAAATTATAAAAATTGTTTGTTTTATTTCATATGATAAGTTTGGCCCTTTCCGATGCCCATATATTTCTTGCACAAGACCATACAGATATGTAGCAATGTCCAGGAAAAAGGTTATGTTAGTATTAGACAATTAGTATCAACAATCAACAAGATGTGTATGGGTTAATTTGGAGAAATAAATTGATTTGTGGGGAAATAAACCCTATGGCATTGGAAAATCTTTAAAAAAAATAGACTTCGATTGTTATGAAACAAGTAAGGACACGTACAATTTGAAGGGCTTTATTTGTCATTTATATTACTGTTGTTACATCATTATTCGTGGAACACCAATTTTCGTGGATTTCGTTGTTGAGTCGATCCACAAAATCAAATGTTCATCGAAGTTTGGTGCCTCCATTTCGATTAATGATAAATCTTTAAAAAGGCTATTCCAACTTTCGTTAATATATGCCAATACCCCCCCCCCTCCCTTTTTCCCCAAATCAAGTTAAAGCTAATACCCCCTTTAGAGTCAGAGTGAAAAATAAAACATGCATAGAGATATCGTTTAAATCAACAATATTTTCTCTAAAATGCATAAATATGACGTCTGAATACCTATCAGCTTTGAGGTCACAGCCTATATATTACGTTGTAAAAAGACAAGTAACAAGCTGAGCGGGTAAAAAGTAAAACAGTAAAACACTTTTAAAGCGAAGTGCTATGGAGAACGTGCAAGTGACTTAAGGCTAAGTATAGACGAACTAATCAAATCGCACAAGGGCTATACCTATTGTACAGAAAAAGTTAAAACTTGTTTTCTAATACAAGCTTGGTAACAACGACATGTGATAGCCAGTGCACATTATGACGTTATATTATGACGTCATAGGTATCTACACGTTTATAAGGAACAGCAACAAAATACTCAGCTATGTTAAGGAAGGCCTGCGTTCACATCTGTGATGCACCGTATGTGAAGTTTCATTGTGACGTCATTGAAAATTTAACAAGCGACAAAAATCTATTTAACCACATGATAATGCGTAAATAACATCTTGCATTCATTTATTTTATCAATTATTTATAAAAGCATGTAGAATCACAACACCTGAAAACTATACTGCCGAGTTATTAGAAGCAAATCTTGCTTCATAAATGACGTCACTAGCCTTGACTTGACGCAGTACAAGTGATCTAGAGGCGTGGATCCATTGGTTTAATAATTACAAAAATGCTTAAATAAATATTAAACCATTGCTAATGTTTAAATCTTATCAATAAAATTAAAAGGAAATGATTTATTTAAAACAATAATGTAGATTATTAATATATCCAGGTGCTATGGAGCTGCACAAAGACAAAGTATGTCAAGAATATCGCTAACACGATGAGTGTATACCTGATTAAGCTCAAAAGTGCAAGGGCATAGACTAGACTGATTGAGCTGAAATATGGAATATCAAATGCTTATTTCATGTATATTTTGAAAAGTGCTGGGAGCTGATTCTGGTCGGCATAACATTATTTTTATTCATGACAGAATTTAAGCGAAGTGGAAATTCTGGGCTATTAAAACGCATTTTCGGCAAAATTACGAGTATTTCCGAAACAGCTCAAACTAGCTCCCAGCACTTTTCGGGAAGCCGATGTAAATCTTTTTTAACATGTATCAATTTTTTTCTCTAAAAACATGCGTATGCCCTTGCACTAGCCCCATTTTCTACATTCAGCTGAACAATTCTATTTTTATACAAGTCACGTGACACACAGCTGATACATGCGATGTAACTGGTACTGAGTAAGCCACAAACCTATCCATTATGGATATCTATATTACCTGTCCTACATTTTTACAGTTACTTTGTTACAAAGATCTTTAAAAATAATACGTATTAAGTATGTACGTAAGATCGCATTTTCCATTTCCTTCCTTAACATAGCCGAGTAGCTTCGGCGCAAGGGCATACCTTATTTTGTTAAACAGAAACAAAGTATAAATAGAAGCAGAATATTCCTAGGATATATGATATTGCTGCACAATATATGTAGGGAAAAAAAAATTCTCAGTCCAGTGTAAGTTTCCTCATTTTTTTTATCAAATGAGAAAGTACATAGGATTTGTGCAGCAATTTTATTAATTTTTAAAATATTCTTATCAATATTATACATTATTTATTTAAAATTAAATAGAATATGCCCTTGCGCTGACGCTGTTTTGTTGAGATGTTTTATGAAATTGAGCGGTAAAGAACAATGACGTCATTATAAGACGGCATAATGTGCACTAGCTTTAAAATGTTGTTGGTACTAAGTATGTATAAGCAAATGAATTTATACTTTCTTTGTATGAAAGATAAACATCTTACGCATTTTTATTAGCTCATTTGCATAGAAACGCCTACACCTAGCCTTAACTTACTTGAGCGATTTTTATTAGTTATATACGAAGTTCAATTCACCCGTTAGTGGATATAAATTTAAGCTTATATTCCTAAAAGATACATCGAACAATGAATGAATATTTTTTCGCTATAGGACTAAAATCATTAAAAGCGTATTTGATGCATCCGAGTAAAATAATTCATGTACTCTGGTCATTCACGGAATGTGTTTCAATCATAAGACTTTTTTTTTTTCATTTTTTTCACAATTGCAAAGTACGATTCAAAAAAAGAAAACAAGGGAAAAAATGAAATACAATCCCTATTCAACAACTTCGACAAAAACAACATTGCAAAATCCTCTAAATCCTTTATGATCATGTCTGTGATCATGCATAATAATATTTCACGCATTATGACTTGTACTAAACTTAGATAACTGCATTTTGTATTAGAATTAGTTGAAAGCTTTATCCTAAAAAAATAATAAAAGATTACGAAATGCATAACTGGTGTTAATTTTCAGCTTTAGGATCTGGGACCATAAAATGTTAAGGAGCTTACTTTCAATTGATGCAAGTTTCACTTCAAAAATTAGAAAATGAATAATAAACGAGAAACTTCCACTTTTATTTTAAAAAATAAGCTTGTTTTCATTAATAGTTCTGAGTCACGGGCGCTCTGTCTTTCTTCATTGAAATTAAAAACCAGTCTGTGTGTTCATTTTGTTTCTCTAAAACATTTTATTGACGCATTCATTTTTAAGAACAGACGATACGTTCTTCAATAATATATATATTTTTCTAAGATTTTGTCATCGAGGTATTGCTACTTTAATTTGTTTACCAGCAAAAAATTGAGATACCTTACCAGGCATTTTATGCAAGATTCCGGCGGATGTTGTTTCCTATAAAATCCTTTTGGAAAAAACTTAATTTGCCAATATCATAATTTTTAGTGTTTCAATTTTTTAAAGACAATTAGAAACCAGTTTAGAAATCAGAAAGTATTTAAAATTTTGAATATTTTTTCATACAATACGAAGATATACAAAACAGATATTGGAGGAACGTATCGTCTGACCTTAAATTCAAACATTCTCGCTTCGTTAAGATATAAAATTAAGATCATATAATTGAAAAGGAGAAGATATCGTACAGTGATTGAACTAAAAAATCATTTTAAAAATCATCACTTAAGCAGGACTGTTAAGGCGTACTACGAAGAAATCAATGGAATATAAACGTGCATAAATACATACCTTTTACAACTGAATTTATTTTTGTAAAGCTACTGTATTATCTAATAACTTTAATTTTAAATAATCTAATTCTTGATTGTAACGCGCCATTTGTTTGGATAAAAAAATTAATTTATGTCTTATGAATTTGGTTGCCTACATCACAATGACTTGCGTCAAAAA